AGGAGTTTAGGATTGTCCGAGGTGTGGGGGGGGGGGGGGGGTTTGATGCCTAAACAGTGAAGCCTAATCTATTAGTTTTGGTTTTTGATTAAACCCATTTGAGAGTGACGTAGATCCCTTAATGGTTTATGTTTCACGCATAAATGCCATTGAACTCAATCGGCTTTTGGGAGAGTTTATTAACCTTGTTGCCTTTCATGGTTGTACTTGTGATTGGAAGTCTAAAGATATTTAGTGCATGTCTGGTTTTGCTTCGGTGATCCACACGTTGCGCCCTTAAAACCACATTGAAAAGAGGAAATTGGTGAAGTAGACATAAGTTACTTCTTGTTGATCAACATTGGATTGTAATTGATGGGTTGTCAAACATGCAATTATTCAACTGGTGAAAAGTTAGTTGTCTACATATGGTAGTGTGCGAGTAAACTTCAAAAGAGTGTTAGGTTGTAATTACATTTCTTATAATGGAGAATTTATTACTGCTTCGGGACCAGGCATATACTGCGCAAGTTTGGTGGTCTGATCTACATTTCAAGAGATTAGTTTTCGGCTTTGGCTGGCTGAGATACTTGTACAAAAATAGAATATGAACTTGAACCGACTATGCTCCAGTTTACGCAATTTGCTTAACTTGAATCCAGTATGCCAATAGCAACATTTTTTTCTCTTATTTTCCGTAGTTCTCAAGCAATTGCTTTAAATTCTTCTATTTATTTGTTTGTTTATCGCTATATGCGCTGCTTGACATGTCAACAGGATTCAGCGCATCGTTCTCATCACTTCCATATGGACTTTCATTGTTTTCTCAACGTTTTTTTAAGAATTACTTTCTCCACTTGTGCAATAATTGGGTTGCACTATATCGCAATTTTATTCCGTTCAAAGCTTGAGAACTACACTCACGACCAACTTGAGATTGAGAACTGTCCTCAACTGCATGAGCCATATTGAGTTTTCATCCTTTTCTTTTGTTAAATAAGGATAAGCATGCGAGGGCTGAAAGCATTTCAAGTTGAAGACATGGGGTCCAAATTTTTATGCTGTGTCCATATAGAGGCATATAAATTTTTAAATATTAAATAGTTATAAACGACATATTTGTCGGATTAAAGCAATGAGCTTATCTGATTGAAGAATTGTCATTTTTTTAAAACCGGACATGGTTATTAAACTGTTAAACACTCGTTCCAGATAAGACCAGACCAAACTAAACTAACCTTCAATTTGTTTGATAAATTGCAGGTCTTTGGAAGGCTGAGTGATCAACACATCCTCCACTTTTTTTTTCTCCTTTTCATTATTAATGAAAATTGTCTTCTTTTCCTTCTTCAAAGGATTACTTATTGAAAATGCCTTGCTAAGGTTGAAAAAACACATGGTGCTAATGAAGAGCCTTACAACAATGCACATTGCTTTCATCCAACAAATCTTGATATTCATATCTCCTGCTACCAAAAAAAACAAATGATGATAGTTTAGTCCTTTTCTGCACCTTTTTTCTTTTCTTTGTTCGATACCTAAATTATTTTTGTGGAAAAATCTAAGCAAAGTTTTTTGCGGGCAATTATGCAAAACAAAATAAAATTAAAATGTATATGAAAGTGTTCTGGTAAAAAGGTCTAACCCAATTAAAATAGCTCAATAAGATAAGGACTGGGTCCTTTAAAATTGGTCCAAGATGCACATCACATGCGATGGATCCAACCCAAAACCTTATGGTATAAACAAGACATGCATAAGCACCTTGTAGTTAGTTATATTATAAGCTTACGTTTTCTTTGTTCATCGCCAATTGTTTGAGGATCTAGCAAATTCCTATTTCTCACCACTAGTTAAGTGTATGCGAAATCAAGTTTTTGCCTCACAAGGTTGCCGTTTGAGTTACAATACAAACAAGATTGAACAAGATCGACAGTAAGTACTAAGAGCAAATAGTGCGTTATGGCTTCGATGAAACCTCACTTCACAAGCCTTGCACAGGACATAATCCAATAAGCCATAGCTATCCAAAAAACATAATTAGAATTTATGTGCAGGATCTTCACCCAAAAAGTGAGGAAAAGTATGTGTTTCTAGTGGTCTAACTATCCAAAATTGCCTTGACACTTTGAACTCATCCTCTTGTATCCTATCATTGTGAGACTTGTTCTCAAATACTTATCCCTCAAGTTCAATCTTCAGTTTGAGCTTGTATTTCAAATTTGGATTTTAGAGGCTCATGGTTTTGTTTTCATTTATTATTTGGACTTGCACTCCATATACTTGGGCTTAAATTTATACAGTGGACATGCCTTGACTATGACACTTTGGATTCATTAATCTCTTATATACCTCTCAATTTGTATCTAACCGACTAATATAAAATTTGTTCTCCTACACTTGATTAATAAATAAAAACAAGATAGAGAGAAATTTGCACCGATATTTGTAAGTCTAAAAGCTAGCCCAAAATCCTACATTTTAAAAAACTTTTTGTATAATAATAAATTTAACCGATCTAATCGTTAAATTATATAATATTATACTTAAAAAATTTTTAAAAAAATAAAGCATATATATTATGTCTGTCATTAAATTTTTGTTTTTACTTAAATATGACCTTTGATTTTAACCCCTCTTTAACCAAATTCTGCCTCGAATATTTAATAATGTTAACATTAGTAATTTCATAAAAAATGGCTATAATAAAATTATAATCACTACACTTGTTCTTAATCTTAATATAAGTTATTATTATTAGTCATTTTCATATATATATATATTCTCAATAAAAGTGTTTCTTTTATATTGTTTCTGATCTAATTATAGACAATAAATTAGATTTTTTTTTATTCTATCTAGAAAAAACAGTCATTAGTTTTTAAATTACTTAAGGATAAATTTTTTTTTATACCGTTAATTAATTGTTAACTTTATGTTCTACAAATTCACTTATAACAAGTATTAAGTATAACAATCACTTAAAACAAAGTATTTTTGGAACAAAATTAAAATTTACGACATATTTAATAAAAAAATAACTAATTTAATCATTTTTCTTAGTTTCGATAATTTATTCTATATTTATAATAATTAAGACTTGAGCAGTACTAATATCAGTGTGAAAAGTCAGGAAATTTCTTGGAGATTGGGATCCAGAATATTATTGCGGACAGCGACTCAGCTTCAACAATAGCTAACACTTTCCTTCCAGAAAAAAAAAATGAATAGCTACACTCATCTTAGATGTCTTCCTTTTTGAAGAACAAAACCTACCATGAAGACTTAGCAATAGTGTAACAAATAACAATATACATGATGCGAATAAAGTAGACCGAATGGCAATTGTAGAGTACTTTGTTATAGCCTAATAAAATCGTAAAAATCAATTATCCAAGTCATACAATGAATTCCCCAACTCCTATATAATTATTTATACAACTACCTATCACATATATTATACGATGATATGAGTATATAATTATTTATACAACTACCTATCACATATATTATACGATGATACGAGTAATACATGATCTCTTTATTTGTGTGACATCTTTTACGAAACTAGGGAATAATCTAATCCGCCCTCATGAATACCCGCCAGAACCCTTTCTAATTTAGATAGAAAAAACTTGTGTTTATTGAGTTCAGGTTCGGATTTTTCTTGATTAATAAAATCGAGAGCTCTTAATAATATAATTAAAAAATTATTTATATATATAAATCAAAATTAAAAATATTTATATGTAAAAATTTGTATTATTTTACTTTTCTTTTATTTTTTAAAAAAATTTTCATATTTATTTAAAAGAAAAGAAAAAAGAAAGAAGAAAAAAAAGGTAGGAGCGGGGCGAGGTGGGGAAACCCAAATCCTGCCGAGGACGAGATAAGTACCCAAATTTTACTCTCAACAGGTATCAGAGACGGGGACGGGAAACGTAAAACTCGCCCCGTCCTGCTGGTATGCCTATATAGGACCGTGTGTAATAAATTTTAGGTCTAAGACAAATTTTTCATTTATGTTTTACCTTCATTTAATTAAATAATTTTTATTTTTAATAAATAAAATTGTTAACTAAATATTAATAATTAAAAAGTTTCAATATCTAATGATAACTAATTCAATCACAATTTTACAGTGTACTTTATAAACATATTGTATAAATTTAATAAATTAATTTTTTAATATATTTAATACTTCTAATGGAAGATTAATTTGTTGTTAGTAATTTCTAAAATTTTCAAATTAGAGAAAAATTTGTGATCACTAATATAAAATTAAGATAATATTTTTTTCATAATCTTATTTTTTGAAATTCGAAAGATTTTCTTAAAGCGATTTCATATTTTAAACTCTGATGTGAATATAATAAAATAAAATAATTTAATATTTATAAAAATAATTAAAACTATAAAATACTTTTTTAGAAGAGCGAAATTAACATGATATTCTTATGATCTTATCACAATTGTTTTTATTAATTTTTTATAGAAATTAATTCTTATATTTATTTTGATACCATTTTTTTAAAATTCAAAACAAATGTAAAATAATTTTTAAATTGTAATAAAATTCACAAACTAATAATCTTATATATTATAGTATTTATGTGTGTGTATATATAAATTTTAAATAAATATGCATTAATTAGTTAATTATAATATAATAGAATATATTACTTAATTATTTATATTAAAATTATTTATTAAAAAAAAAGAACCGACTGGGGGCCTAAGGCAAGGCCTTGCCTTAGCCACGGCCCTGATCTTTTATTTCATAATATGGTATGGAAGGGGAACACGGTCTCCAGCGGTTCATGTATAAGAAATAACATTCTGGAGGTCATATTTTTTTCGATGGAAAATCAAAGGTGCATGCAATCCATGTCTTTATTTGGTTAACCATACAAGACTCTACCACAACGATCACATGCACTAGAGGCAACTGGAGCAGCATCTTTTGGCTTCTCCTTCTGCAACTTTGGTAGATCAATTTCCAAAACTTCAGCCAGAGCCTTGGAACCTTGTTGAATCTCATCCCCACTGCAAAGATTACTTTAGGTCATATCCTAGAACAACATACCAAAGACACTTGCAATGGACAAAGACACAAAGTAACCTACTTGGTTCTTGCATCATGAGATTATCTAAGTATTTACCATTCCCAGTAATCTATCTTGTTGTAAACTCTAAATATCATAAATTAGTATTCATGATCGTAACAAGAATAATGCATATGCTTGTTTTGGTTTAGGTTGTAAAAGAAAGATACATCTTAAAAGCATGAGCATGTTTTCAGCCTTAAAATTTCCCCATTAGTTTATGATGGATCAGTAGGCCAAAGTTAATACAGACTAAGGAGGAGGATGAGATACACACAACATACTCTCACTTATTTTTTTAAAAGAGTATGTTAACAAGTTATATTTGTTCAAATATTTTAGCTTAAAATACGCCTAAAAACGGCTATATTAGCATAATGAAGTGCTAATATACTCCTACTTGGAAAGGTTTTGGTTATATATTTAAAGAATCTTATGGCAAAACCTTAGCTTTGACTAGCTTGAAATTTGTAAATCTTCTAAGCTTATTCCCTTTCAAGCATTTAAGATCTATCAGTGATAAAGTTTTGAGGTGTTGATTCAGAAAGGTATACAACACTGATATATGATAGATCCCCTCTTTCCCCTTATTCTCCCTATTTATATCTAATTAACCTCTCTAACTAATAAACCAAGTAACTAACTACTCTAACCGTTATTTCTATACCCTAACAAATAACAAATCAAACTAGAGCTGTACAGCCATCTTCAGTTAATGTTTCCTTAATCCATACTGATAATTCTTAGCCACTCAGCTAAGAATCAATATGTAATGCAGTTAGCTTGAGAAATAAGAAAATTAAGAGAAAAAAGAAAGAATTTTTTTTGAAACAATCTCATGTAAGATCAATTATGCAACGCTATATTCTGCCATTTCAAAGTTAGCATGAGATCCTTGTTGCATACAACACAGCCCCTCCTCAATTCAATCATTTATAATCTATTCTTTTCTGTACTCATCAGCAGATTCTTTTTCTCCATTTATGTGTTGCCGTGTGTCTTTCTGTCATTTATATTTATCGTAGTCTTCGTTTCCAATAATTATTATAATATGAACTAATAGTTTCCAAGAGGGAAAACTTTGACTACTTGACATACTATAATGATAACTTAGTATAAAGACATTGCTTGTCGTTTTCATAAATTACCTTATGCAGAGTGGGGGAGTAAAGCGGATAGTTGTATCATGTGTTGGCTTGGTAAGCACTCCCCTATTCTTCAATTTTTTAGTTAGCTCATAGCCGGATACTGGGAACAAACTTTTGCTGTTAAACTCCACTCCAACGAATAATCCTCTTCCACGTACCTCCTTCACGTAGTTCGGGTATTGCTGCTGAATCTTAAGCATCTGACCAATAAGCTCCCCTCCCATTTGTGCTGATCTGTTCAATAGTAATACATACATCAATTGCAGATTTTATGTATTAATTTCTCAAAGAGAGAAATTCACAGTAGAAGAGAATGAATGAACCAAATTAATAAACCATTCACTGAAACTTGGAAACTTTAAAATTTGAAAGGATTCAAGACAACATAGGTAGAAAAACACTGCTGAAAAGCAAAATAAAAAAGTTTAGAACATAAATTGATGAGCATAAGCACTGTAATTTAAGTTGAGGAGGGGACAGAGTAGAAAGTTAAAGAGCTTAGAAAGAAGTATCAATTTCCTACATTTAAATTTTCTTTGCAAATAAGTTTTACCTCAGGATCTCCAGAACTTGTTGCATTATTTAGAGTCTTCAATGAAAATTCTTTTTTGCACACAGTTGTAACTTGCGTGATAAAAAAAATTATGAGACCATTTTCTCATGAAGCTTTCTAAACATGGTCTGAAACTTATAAATGGGACGAAATTAGAAATGCAGAGACTGAAAATACAAATAAATTATTGAGCTAGATCTGCTGGTATTGTAAAGAGTTGTGATTACTTTATGGAGAAGGGTGAGGATCCGAATCAAAATTAAGTACTGTAGGAAACGCAAATATTTAAATATTGGATGAACAAAAATCCCTAATAACACAGGACATCCTACCAAGACACTTTAGACGTGATAATACACGGCAGGATTTGATAAAAATAATGGGATTAATTTGTAACATTCTCTGAAAAGTACAAGAAGCATGGAGACAAATTCTCAATCATCAATAAACAAATTTACCCAAAGATAAGAATAAGATTATATTTCATACAGTTATTCAACTACCAGAACCCAGGGCCTTAGTATTGAAGCTTTTATTTCAAATGATGCTTATGAAATGAATAAAATTTACTTGTCAAGACTTGTATTGAAACCCGTATTATAATAAGTATATATTGACAATATAAGATTTTGCAATGCATTTGATACCTCTCAACGAGTCTCTCATCCTTGATCACCTCTAGTGAGGCAATTGCAACTGCACTGGCCAACGGATTTCCACCAAAGGTACTGCAAACAATAAAAGAGAAGAAGAAAATTCAGCATTATAAGTCTCATCTTAGCTTTCATACTTTAATAACATTAACTTTATTGTCATAAATGAAGTTAATGACTAATTACATAAAAAGAAATGAATGCAAAACTGAGAAAAATTTCCTGAGTACTCAAAGGATGGAAAAATTTAAAAGTAAATAACAATCAAAGTCCTTAAATGAAGAAATCAGTTTAATAAAAAAACTGAGGGCCATCAGAATCGGTTTATTAACTTGGAGACCTTACACCAAATAGGAAATAATTTTACCATCCTTGAAGGATCAAATACTTAATGGCTATTAAAATCGAAAATAACCTACTATTTAATGTGCTGGTGATGCTACAGTTGCTGCACTGAACATTGGTGTTTACATTCATAATATGACTTTGTAATGAAACATAATAATAATTCCACCACAATAATAATCCCAATTTTTTTACAACAATATTTATCTTAATTTTCAGATACTTCCTACCTTTAAAACTTCTAAGCATGAATAATATAAGTACAATATGAATGACCAAGCCAGTGTTTTTAAGTATCATACTATCATCAGATACAAACTCCGAAGTATCACTTATGGGAATTTACCATGTGGTAAAAAATCTTATCTCAGTCGATTTTTCAGTCTTTTGAAAATTAAATGGTTATGGTCCAGTTCACAGATAACTTCTGCCAACGTAGTCGAATTTTGTACCATGGTCCTATCGGTTTGAACAGAACTAACGTTACATATCTAACCCAAAACAAAACAAACTATATATTCAACAAAAAAGAGAGTTGTATCTCTTCAGTCTTCACATCATCTGACTAATAAAGGACCTATATGGATGAAAACAGACGCCCATCATTACCTCATAAGTTTGACAACTATAAGCAAGAAAATGCTAAACAAAGGGAGCAGATTAAAATAAATTATAAATTTATAATACAATGAAACCTTCCATGCTGTCCAGGTTTTATGCAAAGCATCACATCTTTGTCTGCAAGAACTGCACTAACCGGTATAACTCCTCCACCTAGTGCTTTCCCAAGTATCTGAGTACAGAGACAGTTAAAAACAGCTATGCTTGGTGAAATAAAAAAGGAAATAGAACCTTAAAAAAGGTGACAAAAAACGAAGAGTTTGCACTTTGTGGTAGAGGCAGTATAGTCCTCATTTTCTTGAAAGAAACATAAAGTTGGGTGGTCAAGTCTTTCAAGTGGAAGGTAGTCGAAAGCATCTATTGGAATCAATTATTTTTTCTTGCCATAGTTTCAATTTCAAGTCTAAGTCCATAATTCATTACTGATTTTATTGTTTTGGAAATGAATCCAGAGATATATACAGTATACAAGAAGTAAAGGTGATTTCTAACCACAACATCTGGGCGAACGTCTTCCCACTCACAAGCCAGCATCTTCCCTGTTCTTGCTAACCCAGTTTGTATTTCATCAGCAATCATCAAGATGTTATATTTGGAGCAAAGATCTCTAACAGCTTTTAGATAGCCATCTGGAGGAATTATAATCTTTAAAAAAAATAATTATCATATATTAAAAAAATGTAGAGAAGATATTATATGTTGAGAAGAAAGAACATAATAAAAAAAAAAGTCTACAGAATGTTATAGCCATTCTCCCGGAAGAGATATACAAGGGTACCAGAAAAATTTTCCATCAAATAACTAATTTGAAAGAATTCGAACAAGCAATAAGGAGTACGTATTTTTCATAAAATTATACACTATATGGAATAAAACCAGTTGAAAGATTAATAAAATGAAAAGAAAAAAAATTAAATTAGATTAGGAGAAAAGGATGGTTAAATATGGACTGGCAAAAAGTAACCAAAACTACCCTAAATATACACAATCGTCAGTTCACTTGACTTGTATAAGTCGCCATGAACAAGTAACCCAGGGAATGCAAACAGTGAAATTTTTTCAAAACATGAGCCGTTAGGCATGTTCTATGTGGTATGTCAAGTAGAAGAATAGGTGAATATTGGAAATTAACTTTCACAAAACATAATTTGGTGAATAAAGAATTGTGGTGTGTGATTTATCATCCATGTCAAATGAAAATGTCAAAATTTCTGTAGAAATTTTCCATTCTAGACATGCATTATGTATTTTACTGAAAGTCGACTCTTTAGCCGTTCTCTTTACCAAGAATATGCAACATGGAAAAAAATTTAATTGAAAGCATACATCAGTTTTTTCTGTAAGTTATAATATCAATAAACAGATAAGACAAAGAGAGGGGTATATAGCAACTTCTTTAGCATCTTGATTCAATCAACATATTGAGTGTTAAGCTCATTAAATTTGCACTTGCATAAAACATACCCCAGCTTCGCCTTGCATAGGTTCTAAAATAAATCCAGCTATGTGTTCTCCTTTTTCTGCAGTTCATAGGGAAAATTCAAATAGTAAACTTCAAAGATCTATCATGATAAAGCAAACTATACTGATAAGAAGGAAAAACTATATGGCACAGTGCAGAACCTTTAAAAATTCTTTCAAGGGCTTCTGCATCACCAAAATCAACTTTAAGATGGCCAGGAAATAAAGGACCAAAACCACGGGTAGCTTCATTGTCACAGCTCATAGATATGACACCTAGTGTACGACCATGGAAGCAGCCACAGCATGAGACAATAATAGCCTGGAACAGGTGTCCATGAGTAAAAAGTTTCATTTCATAAAACAATTTAACTGATTCTCATAAAAAGAACCACCAAAGTACAATAGCAACAAAGGACAGATGCTTGCTCAAATGTAGCAAGATAACTTTCAGGCTGTAAAATTGAATAGTAAACTCCTGACATTATGACTGACCAACAAAAGTAAAAAATAAAAAAGTATAGACTGTTAAACTTCCTACATATAAAACAGAAAAGAGAATGATAAAATAATTTCCTACATTTTCTATTTGTACCAGAAGAATACCATATGTTTAGCTGTAAAGAATTAAACATCTCAGATGCATCTAGTTTGCAAAATATTTCACAAGAAAAAGTCACGTGAGATGCCTAGGTCATAATTAGAATGCATTCCTTCTAATGTTGTCAAAGTTGACATCTGTGGATGCCCAAGCATTCCGCAGAGGAAATATTATAATAGATAATTTGATTCATCGTGTATTCTGGTTTCCATCTTATGTATCCTCGTATAATTATATTTTTGACATTAACAATCAGACTACAACATGGCCTCAAATGGTAAACATGAAAACATCTAAACCACTACAGTACACAGAACATGTGAATTATAAGTTTTATAGTACAGGTAACATTAAAAACATGATGATGACATGATGACGATTGAATCAATACCAATTGGCCCATATTAAGCAAATTTTAGCTGGACCCCAAAAATTTGCAAAATTGTAACATATCATGATATTACAACTATTAGCATGCATGATTCTCATATTTATACCTCATCTTTGGGAATTCTTTTCTTTTCATAACCCCACTTTCGCGCTAATTTCATAGCTGTTTCCACACCTTCAGCACCAGTATTCATAGGAAGTACCATATCGTAACCAAACATGGTTGTCACATACTCAGCAAAGAGTGGAAACTGATCATTGTAGAAGGCTCGAGAGCTCACAGTCAGCCTTTCTACCTGTTCTTGTAATGCTTTCAGAATTTTAGGATGGCAGTGTCCCTAAGGTGAAATGAACAAAACACCAAGATTATTAGAACTTTGATACCATTTATTTTCCTAAAAATAAAGAAGAAAAGGAAAAGTAGTAGCAACAGTAGAAGTGATCTGGCCACAGTAATATACTCACTCCAGAAAGGAAACAAGAAAATGTGTACAAACATCATTATTCATTTGGGACCATTCTGAAGAAAAATTTCAGATCAAGAGTATTGTGAATTACAAGATCCAGCCAACTGTACCTGATTAACAGCAGAGTAACCAGATAGAAAATCAAGGTATTTGTTTCCCTCAGGATCCCAAACAGAGGTTCCCTTTGCTTGAGAAAATACAATTGGAAGCGGATGGTAACTGCATTTGAAAACAGGAAAGATCATTTCAATATTTAACCAAAATCAATTAATTAAACTCATTAAAAATCCAGGCAAAAGGAAAGTGTGAAAAGAAAAGGCCCCTAAGCAAGTAACCAAAAGAAAGCTATGTTCAGTATAAGCTGACAGCCAAGAGATAGCGAATCCCCATCATCCTTTTCTTGCAATAATGCTCACAAGAGACCAATTGAGATTATTTACTAACTGAGAATTTTTAAAGAAGCTCCAGACATAACAAAAGTTCAAAAAAAAAACATAAATTTATAATCTTGACTGAAATGGCAGAGTGCTGCTGGTATTTTTTATGCTTAGGTGATGAAAAAAACAGGAATAAACAACATGATTACAATAAAGTACAGTTTTTGGAGGGTACTTTCAAGTTACAACTCATGATTAGCTTAATGATTTTTCTTTTTTAATTATAAAACTCAAACATTCCAATGAATGATTCAAAAACTTATATCATTAACTAAAAATTACTAAGGTTTAACCTGATCTAAGTGGGACAACATAATTAGATTTGAAAAAACCAAAATCTTGTATTTGGGGCATAGCAAGACATGGGGTGGAGAGAAAGAGAAACGTACTTGTGGGCACTGTGCTCGTGTTCCTTGTCGATGATTCTCTGGGAGGAAGAAGAAGAAGAAGAAGAAGCATTAACTTCTGTGGCAACACCAAAACTCCTACTTCCCCTGAAAACCCTTCGTAACAAACATTGAACCGGTCTCGTGGTAGCCATTGATGAGACACAAAGGTTCCTCAAATTTCTCAGGATTTTCGTTCGAAAATGTAAGATGAAAGAGATGAAAGTATGTTCTAATGAGTATCACCCAACATGCTTTTTAACTTTTGTCACTTCACGGAACTTAAATATAATATTTAAATATTAAATACAGCACTTTACCTATTTTAAATTTAATTTTACATTTCTATGTATTATGAATCTTTAAAAAAAGAAGAAAAAAAATCTGGAAATGATTTCATATGCAAAGATTATATTAGATTATTTTTTTAAAATATATTTTTAGTCATCAAATTTTGGATAAATTTTATTTTTCTCTATCAAATTTAAAATTATTATTTTTAATTCTATAATTTTTTAAAAAATTTATTTTAATTTTTAAGATCACCGATAGGGATGGCAAAAATACCTGCACCCGCGCGTATCTGCGGGTAAAATCCGCTACGGATAATAAATGGATAGGCTAATTGAGTACCCGTGGATAATAGGGACGGATAATTTTTTACCCGTTTATAAACGGGGCGGGGGCGGGTATGATGATATCCATACGCGCGGGTACCCGTTTAATAATGTTTCTTAAATATCCTAATTATCTTTGTACCACATAATCCTAAAACTACACTGTCATCTTATTTTCTTACAAAAGTGAGGTTGATGAAGTTATCAACATGTGTTAAGCATGTTATAGAATTATGGATGTAATTTGATTAATTTTCTAGCTTTGATTGGACCAATAAAATTATGTATTTTAAATTGTTTACTTTCGTTTGGAATTATGAGATTGAATTATTGTAGCTTTATGATGAGACTTTATCATACTTGTGAGATTGATGTATTTTAAGTTATTAATTATCTTATATTTTTATTATTATTTTAACAAGATTAACCTTGAATACAAGTTCAAAATTAACATTGAATTTTCATTTTTAATATTTCAATGACATTAAATATAAACTTAAAATTATTTGTAATATAATTCTTTTAATTTCTTAAAAAATTTATAAATATCCATGGATATCTGTGGGTATTCAAGAAATTCATGGATACCCGCTTAATGGATACCTGCACGGATATGGGGTGGGTATGAGGCCAATTCTATGGAGCCCCATTGTCATCCCTAATCACCGATAACATAAATTAAAATAAATATATAATATTTAATGTGATATTTTTATTAATAAAAATATTATTATATAAATTTTATACGATAATATTTTTCTAACAAAATTTGAATATAAAAATTAAAATAAAAATCTTTTTTCAATTAAGATTAAAGAAAAAATTATGACCATTAGGATTAGCCTAATGATTGTGTGGGAAGGAGTTGGAGTAATTAAAAGTATGAGAACTTAGATTCAATTCTCATTGCAACTATCTTTGTAATCTTTCCTATCTTTAAAAAAAATTAAGACTAAAAAGATGAATTTTTAAATTATTTATCTTAAATTTGAGATTTTTTTTAATAAAATTTGTTCTTTTGTTCGAAATGGAATATTGATCGTGAACCAATCTCTCGTGAATTTTGACACCAGAATGTTTCAATTCTAGTAGATCGAGATTCAAGATCTACTTTAGTTCAATTGAAGTTTTTTTTTTTGCGGGAAATGGGTAAGTACTTACAAAAATAAAATAAAAAATACTTTAACATTCACGTTAATAGGAATTCAACAAAATTAGTAAATTACCAATGGTTGACTCTAAATTGAAAATAGCTCATCACATGGATTGTGCTGTAGGCCCAATTCTGAACAAAATGTAATTAAAATTCACACGTAAGGTAACTTTTTATACTGTTATTTAATTATGAATTATCATATAAGTGAATTTTGATATTTTTTTATAAAAAAAATATTTATTTTCATCTCCCACAAATCTGAAATTATTACTTTTTATGCATATTATCATGCGACATCCTACAATTGTTTGTGTATTTAATGGAATGTCAAATGATTGTCTCATACAACATCTATTAGAATTTTAAGTATTGTCACATCTCTAAAAATTTGTCTGTATTTTTATATTATTTATCTAATTAAATGAAAATCAAAAACCAAAAATATTTATTTTAAATTTTAAATAAATAAAAATCAAATAATATATTTTGCAAAGAGTAAAACTATAATTAATTCATTTATAAGGCCAAAACCAGTACATTTAAATTTTACTAGGATGAAAATAAAAAGATAATTACAATAATCAAAATTGAAATGTACTCGTTTTAAGGAAATTAAAATATATTTAAATCTAATATATTTGTAATTGTACTATAT